GTTTGCTTGCTTTTGATTTATTGCCATAGCTCTAGGATCGAAACATCTTTGTCCCCAGGGGCTGCTTTAAGACTCTTTTGAGCTGTGCTCATTATCATGTATCCCCTTCAACATCAAGATTCTTTAATCAAGCTGGTGTGCTTTGAACCCTGATGCATTTTTTAGTTCTTTTGAGGTTTTCTGACTTACCTCATCAGTCCTTTCGAGAAGTCTGAATTTTAGTGAAAGTTTGGTTTTACTCAACCAAGATCCCCTGCTACTCACTACAAGGTGATAATTGTTTTAGTGCAGGGTTTTTCAACTTTGGAACTGTTGACATTATGAGCCAGACAATTCTTTGCTGTTGAGGGAATGTCGTCCCATAGAATGTTCAGCAACATTCTGGGCCTCTGTTCACTAGATGCCAGTAGCACTCCCTCCCTCTCCCACTGCCCAATTGTGGAAAACAAAAATGTCTCCATACATTGTCAAAGATCCTCTGGGGAACAAAAATCACCCCTGATTAAGAGCTACTTTTCCAGTGGAAAATATACCTAGTATAGTGGGAGCAGAGTATAGTGGAAAACAGACCCTGTCTTTCTGGCAGGGTCAGGGTAGGTGTCCCAGGGGAAGTAGCATTTGAGCTGGGCTTTGCAGTATTAGCAAGATCTCATAGTCACAGATAGAATAATTTTTAAGGTATAATCAGGGAAGTATCCATGGCTCTCCGCGATGCCTTCTTGACCAAAACTACATTTCCTGCTACTCCCATTCATGCCCTCAAACATCCTAGGGATCACCTGAAGAGGCCTGGCTCTTCACTACCTCTATGGTTTTGTTTATTCCTTGTGAGTAGACTCGATCGCTATATGTACAAATTCTGCTTTTGCTAGTTGCATTTACTGAGCTGTGCACCCATCTTTGAATAAGGATTGAGTTCCCAAAGCAAATTCCCCTAGAGATGGGTCATTTTCTCTTAAGTATTAAGCCTATGCTTTGGGGAGATGAAGGAGTAGGTTATGCTGTGAGCAGCATGAATATGTCGAATTCAGTGTTTTGGGGGAATTTTAGGCATCACTTCAGATTATCATATGGCATTATCATATGACTGTGGCAGTTGTTGCACATTCATGAGAAGACACCGGCTCACCTGGGATGTGACTCATCTGATGATGTATTGATCTAGGGGTAGGGTAGGAGAGAATCTGGAAAGAGTGTGGGAGGAAGAAATTGACAGCCTCCTTCCCCAGGTTGCTAAAATCCGTAGTAACACTGGCGGGTGGTGGGAGTTTCACAGCAGGGGTAAAGGAATCACACAGAAACATCAATGAGTTTGGCCATTTATTGATGCCACACAAAGGGAGGCTATGATTACAATCTGGTTTTAAGTACTGAGATACCCACCAAGGTACCCCTTGAGGAGGCTGGGTAGAAGGGAAAACGGCAAAGCAGCACAGAGATGCAGGGAGGGCAACAGGCTGGGCCGTGTATATCATACAATTATTTTGGAGGACAATGACGGGTAGGATTGTGCTTTACCCACCATGTTTTTTTAATAACATAACTTAGAATAATACTTGAATTCGCAGTACAGACAACAGGAGTAGCATCAAATATGTTAGCGAGGTTGTAACGCCAGGCAGTTCATGTCATGTGGCCTCTCCTTCAAAAGTGAATCACTGCGGACTGAGCACCAGATACATCGTCCCAGAGATTCATCTTGAAGTCAGAAAGCAGAAGAGCTAAGACCTGCACTCACTGGAGTAACAGTGTGCAGCTTTCAGAGTTTGGAAGATTTTAGTCAACTGAATGGGGTGTTATTATCGAAAACGATATCATCCCTCACGTTGTGTTTCAGATACTAGATGAAGGTTATCAGAAACATTCACTGACTATCTGAAAGCATCACAGTGGGATGTCAGCGGAGACGTGGCTGTCTCAGGAGACTGGACGGCAGTGTGCTCTTCTTTAAGAAAAGCCATCAGAAAACAAAGCATTCCTACAAAGGAGGCACTGAAACGATTTCCTGATTGAAGAAAGTAATCACTGTTAAGTCTCCTGGAATATTGTTCTCTCGTGGTGTGTTTAATTACATTTTTATGTTAAAGAATTATATTAACCCACAACTGTCCAGAGAAGAGCTAAATATACTACTGTGAGAGACAATGTAAACCAAACTGGGTTTTAGAACATTAATGCAGTTAAGTACCAGGCCCTGCGATGGCCCTATTTCATAGAGATATGTATCCAGTGTCTCCTGATACACTTCTCAGTTGCTTGTTCCAGGTGAGAAGAAACAAGGGCCTAGATAAAATAAACCAACAACTCTGCTTCATGTTAGCACCCAAGTATCAAAGATGTGAAGACACCATGCAGGTTCCTGCCTTCAGAGTCTTCCTGTTGATCTGAGTCCCCTCTTGTACAGCAAGCACCGGGACCTGTCAAAATACTGACGACTCATCACTGAGTGATCGCCAAGGCAACAGATGATACCATCAGGACAGAACACAGCGAGCCCTGTCTTCATTCTGGAGTCAAGAATGATGGACATCACACAGCTGTCTCACAACATAGCTCCAGTACAGGAAGCAGATATCCATGGCAAATAATTAGGAGCCAATTTCCTGCCTTTGAGAAACTGGAAAAAGACCTAGAATGGAGCACCTGGCCAAACTCTCTCCACACGTCTACCATCTTCTTCACCACGTGGGTTGTAAATAACTTGGTCCATTTTGTATGCTGAGAAATTTGGCCTAGTTTAGTTGGTTGAGGTCAGTAGGAATCTGAGTTTGTTCCTGAGTTTTGTAAGCCTGGTCATATCCAGGTCTCTGATGATAGTATTTGACCCTATGCTAGTACAGTACCAGGTTAAATCAATCTAGCGTACTAAATGAATCCCCCTAAAAGCCTACACTACACTTCAGGGACAGTCTTTGCAAACTGCCTCATTAGTAAATATCAGATTCTTCTCCATTCATGTCACTAGCAATTTGTCTCCTATCCTCGAAAACCATTATTCACCAGAGATTGCTATCGGCCAGCAATGTTTACGTTTAAAGGCAGAGAATACAATAATGTAATTATCATCTAGAAATAAATTCTCTGGCTTTAGGTAAACATTTCTACTTTCCTCCTGTTTCTGGTCTATCTTGAATTTCATCCCAATCCCACTGTTTTATTTTCCACAGGAATTCATGAGAGTAATACATGTTAATGGCTTGGAAAAAAATAAAAAGCACATACTATTAAATCTTAAATTCAAGGTACCCAAGCAATAAAATTGGCATTGGACAGCAACACCATTACATGTTTAACAGAATAGCTATATGGAGAGTTTCACATACACTTACCCATTTGTATGCCTATCTATGTTTACATTAGTTCTGCCACCATCTAGATATTAGCACCATTTTTAAATAGCACCATTCTGCTGAACGGATAGGTAAAGGGAGACAGAGGACACTGTGTTCCATGGGGAGTATTAAGTGTATCTGTGCATGAGTCAGAAAATATGCTGCCCATCACATGAAGGCCACATCCTTGCCTTTCTCCCTGCGAAGAATTGGTTCCGAGATCTTCTTCCTTTTAAGGCTTATGCCCCTCCACCCACCCACTTACCCTCTTTCTCTGGGTTCAGTTCGTGTAAGTACCTTCCCTTAGAAATCACTTTGTCTAGAAATTTGCTCTGAATTTGAGACCAAGCCTACTTTGACTTCTGGTGGGAGGTAGGAACATCCAGAACAAGGATTCTAACTTTTATTTCAGTTTCCTTGGACTTCCTGATTTACCTGTTCTCCTCAAGGTGAAACACCTTTACGACTTTCATTTGTGAAATGGAAAAAATACTTGTCCAATAAGACCTATTGGATACACTGAGAAGTAGATCCTCTTCACCTTACTTTTTAGAAATGTTTTTTTTCTCTAGATTAGAAGTTTGCACTATGTTCTTGTACTTAGTACAATTTACCTGGCTCTTTGCAATATTTTAATAGGGAACCTCCATTTTCCAACCGAGGGGAGGTGAGGACAGGTGGCAGCCCTAGAGCTGGTTGTAGCGGTCTTAGCTTATACACCCCCTGCAGCAAGACGATGGTGGGACCTGAGCTCAGGCTTCCTGTATGGACTGTACAGAAGAGAGGAAATCAGCCCGGAAGACTCATTTTCCCTTCTGCGAAGGAGTGTGTATTTGCCAGGAAAGTGGGAAGAATAAAGGCCCACAGTTCCTTTTCTATAATAGTAAGAAATTGATTTCTGCTCATTTGCTTTTTAAGAGTTTTCACAGAAATGCTCTTCAAGCCAGAAGTGTTTTCTCTGTAAGTGACCTAAATCCCTTCGGCTGTGTTTCTTATGCCTGTTTCCTCTTAGTCTAGTGTCTTGAGGTTGGCAGGAGACTCTAAGCAGCCCAGATGTGGAGCCCTACAGGGATGGAGGAAGAGACTGAGGGATGTAACAAGCACTTTCTCTTCCTGCCCTAGTGGAACATGGGGTGAAGAAAGCAGTCCTCTGCCTGCATAAATTAAAGGAATGTTCCTAAAGCTCCACTGTGACATTTCAAATAGCAGCTGCCCCAGGCAGGGAGGAAATAAAAAAAAAAAGAAACGTATTCATCAAGATAAATTAAGAAGATTATTTGTCCCCTGGGTAAGGGTGGCTCTGTGGCCTGATACTCTTGAGGTAGTCGGGGAGAAAACTAGTCTCTTTGTTTTTATCTTCAAGGGAGAACAAAAACACAACATTTCACAAATCTGTAACCTAGCACCTTTCCCAGGAGCCGACACCAGGAGCTGCCTGATTCTCCTAGCTATTTCACCTTCCTATCAGGGAGCAGCAAGTACGGCAGCCTAGGCCTCCTGTGAGGGACATTTTGTGGCTAGAGGAACACAATGGATTTTGTTTCACTATGACCCAAAGCTGAACCTGAAATATATGAAGCAAAACCTCAATGAAGCAGCTCCCAGAGCTAAAGCATGTCACGGTCAGCAGGCTGCTGCAGTCTGGTGGAAGGTGGCTTCCTTTTGGGCTTAGAGTGCTTTGGGTTTTTGGGGCAACCGTTGCCTTCTTTGCCTTTGGCTGTGGGTGATGTGTGTCTGGGGACACGAGAAGCAGCACTGAGCCCTCACGGTGGGCACAGAACATTTCTTCATGGCTTTCAGTGTCTGGCAGAAACTGGCTGACAGCTTGTCCTTGGTGCAAAGTAAATCTGTGGAAAGAGAAAAAGAATAAGAAAAAAAGTCCAAAGATTATCCTTTGTAGATACACAAGCACAACTTCTATTAACGTAAGACTTTATATGTCTACCAAGAAAGGAGCCATAACAATTCATAATAGGTGGTATCTACTGAATGTTTATCATGTTTCAGACACTGTGCAAAGCGTTTATGCTAGACTGAACTATCAGTCACAATTCTTCACTCCCATGTAATTGTGTTATACAGAACATTCCCACCTTGCCATGGCTGCCTGGTGGGTGGAGAATCCTTCCCACCTACTTGTCTTTGGGTTCAGCTCTGTGACTTGCTTTAGACCATGGGATGCTGGTAGACACGATCTGTGTAGTGACTTGGAAAGTGCAGGAGGACAAGCCTTCCCTGATGAGCTTCTGTTGTCACCATAAGAAGAACCTGGCTTGTGTAGCCACCGAGGGTGATAAGAGACACATGGGGCAGACCTAGACTCAACCTACAGTTAGTAGCCAAGGCCAACCAAAGCCCAGCTCAATCACCTGAACCTTGGCTGACCTATAGATGCTCAGCAAAAAATACATGACTGTGCATTATATGAAAAACACACACACACACGTTTCTAGCAGCATAATTCACAATTGCAAAGACATGGAACCAACCTAAGGGCCCATCAACCAATGAGTGGATACATGAAAATGTGGTATATATACCCCAGGGAATACTACTCAACCAAAAAAAAAAAGGCATGAAATAATGTCTTTTGCAGCAGCTTGGGTGAAGCTGGAGGCCATCATTCTAAGTGAAGTAACTTTAGGAATGGAAAACCAAATATATGTTCTCATTTATAAGTGGGAGCTAAGCTATGAGGACTCAAAGGCATAAGAATGATACAATGGCCCCAGGGGACCCAGGGAGGAAACTTGGGGGTGGTAAGGAATAAAAGACTACATATTGGGTATAGTATACACTGCTTGGCTGATGGGTGCACTAAAATTTCAGAAATCACCACTAAGGAATGTGGGTTTTGGTTATCCCCCACAACCACTTTGGTACCCCCAAAACTATTGAAATTTAAAAAAAAAATACATGACTGTAGTTTTAAACCCCTGAGTGTCAGGGTGCTTTGCTATGCAATATTGCTATGGAAATAGTTGAACGCAGTGTTTTCCATGCTTCACTACATTTAATCTTTACAGTGCTACTAGCAGACAAGTATTTTTTCCATTTCACAAATGACTAAAGTAGGGCCTCAAGTAGTGAAGAACTTGTATAAGGCTGTCCAGCTGATAAATGGCAGGGCCAGATCTGAACACAGGTAGTCTTAACTCTAGAGCTCATGCTCTCATCAGTCATACTATTCAGAGTGTCAAGCCAACAACCAGTCAGCAAAATAACTGATGCTTCCGGGACGGGCGCAGTGGTTCACGCCTGTAATCCCAGCACTTTGGGAGACCGAGGCAGGTGGATCACGAGGTCAAGAATTCGAGACTAGCCTGGCCAACATGGCGAAACCCTGTCTCTACCAAAAATACAAAAATTAGCTGGGCATGGTGGTGGGCTCCTGCAATCCCAGCTACTCGGGAGGCTGAGGCAGGAGAATTGCTTGAAATCGGAAGGTGGAGGTTGCAGTGAGCTGAGATCGTGCCATTGCACCCAGCCTGGGCAAGAAGAGTGAAACTCCATCTCAAAAAAAAAAAAAACAACAATAAACCAATGCTTCCAGAGTGAGTGAGGTATACAGACATATAAACTGTGATCTCTGCCCTGCAGAACTTTACCACGGAGATGAAGGCAGAAGACATGTACAAATAGTTCCCAGAGTAAGTATACAATGAGTCACCTGAGTTCTAACCCTTGTTCTCCTCTAACTAGCTCTGGGTAAGTGTGTCCCTTAATTTTCTTGGCCTTGCTTTTCCCACACATGAGTCAGGGAACGAGAGTGGGTTGCTCAGGGACCACCCCACACACTCGTGGCAGGTGGTTCTCAGAGGGCACTGGTCCACAGCTTCTGGGTCTGTAAAGAATTCAATTAGATATTTTTTTTCTAGAAAGTGAAATTGTTTTAAGCTTGCCTTGAGTGCCTTTTGGAGCTCTCGTCTTTCTTTCTCCTTTACAGAGAAAAGATTTTCATAGTTCTGAAGAAAAGCACTTTCATAAACAGGCCGCTATCCTTTGTAAATGGAAGAGTCAGGAAAAGTAGAAATGGAAATAAGATCCTCTCCACCCCAAATGTGTGACAATATCTTTGCGTCTCTATGCTTTTTCCCCCTTCAGATCATAAAGGCAAAAAGTTCTTTTTATCTCCTCAGAACTCCTTATTCTCTTAACTGTGTCTTATTTTTGTGAACAAATGAAAGTCTTCTGTTAGCTTCTAGAGTCCCGTTTGGGGCTCAAGTTTTAAGTGCCCTTAGGAATCGGTAACATATAATGCTCCTAGAATCCAAAACCTGAGTCTTCATCTTTCCTTCTTCAGGGCTCTGCTTTTAGCCTCTTATAAAAACCCCATCTCTCTTAAAACCCCACAGGAAATTGCCTGACACCCTTGGAAGTTTCAGAGAGAGTACATGTTTTTGTTTTTTGAGATGGCTCCCTCTGTTGCCCAGGCTGGAGTGCAGTGGTGTAATGTCGGCTCACTGCAACCTCTGCCTCCTGGGTTCAAGCAATTCTCCTGCCTCAATCTCCTGAGTAGCTGGGACTACAGGCATGTACCACCACGTCCAGCTACTGTTTTTTTTTTTTTTGTATATTTAGTAGAGACTGGGTTTCACCATGTTGGTCAGGCTGGTCTTGAACTCCTGACCTTGAATGATCTGCCTGCCTCGGCCTCCCAAAGTGCTAGGATTACACGTGTGAGCCTGGGCTTGTTTTTCTTTTTGTTTTAAATTTCCTCCTCAAAATTCAACTTCAGAGAGTACATGTTTTGACCAAGCATGTCTCTTGTGGAATATCCCTCGAGTTCTTCATCTCCCGTGTCCCAGCAGAGCAGAGGGTGTTGTTCATGGGACCTGGGCCGTGCATTGTGTGCGTTGCTGATCGGAACAAGGCAAGGCTTCCTTCCTGGGCTCTGGGAAGCCCCCTGGCAGGGCAGTCCAAGCACCACACAGCCGCCCCAGTTTCTTAGCCAGCCTCTCCTGAAGTCTCTGTGGATGGAGGCTGGAGAGAGCACAGGAGGGGCAGCTCTTTGCCCCACAATCTTGTCGCTGTGAGTCTGTGAGTGCTCTGGGGCTGTTGCCCAGGAGGAGAAAGACAGGAAGGGTAGAGGCTCAGCTGACAGCCACCGTTCCACAAAGCTTCTTCTGGCAGCGCTGACCCACATGAGTCCCCTCTGTCTCCATGTCCAAACAGGCATTATTGTACTACACACTCGGGCACCGCACCATACCCTCTCTTGAACTGCTCTGTAAATGGAGTGTGCTAAGGGCTAAAGTGCGAGTTCTCAAAGGTATCTGCCATTATAAAAAGGACCTCTAGGAGGCCCCCAAAGTCTTTGCCCTGGTTGTGGGTTGAACTGTATCCTTTGAAATGTACCCCAGCGTTGAAGTCCTCACCCTTTGTATCTGTGAATGTGATCTGATTTGGAAATAAGATCTTGGCAGATAGAATTATGATGTCAATTAAGATGAGGTCACTATGAACTAGGGTGGGCCCTTCATCCAACCTGGGTGGTGTCCTTATAAAAAGAGGAGAAGAGACACAGAGACAGACACACAAACAGAGGAGGAAAAGCTGTGCTGAGACACAGACACAGAGAGGAAAGACAGCCATGTGGTAATGGAGGCAGAGACTGGAATTCAATTTCTGTAAGCTGAGGAATGTCAGTGATGGCTGGCAACCACCAGAAGCCAGGAGAATGAGTGTGGCCCTACCAATACCTTGATTTTGGACTTCTAGCCTCCAGAACTGTGAGAGAATAGATTTCTGTTGTCTTTAGTCACCTAGTTTATTACAGTTTGTTATGGCAGCATGAATATTTGTGCTTGTAGCCCAGGAAGCTAATACACCCCTTCCTTCATGAAAGTAGAAAAAACACAGACACAAATTATTAAGCATATATCACATACTAGGCAATGTTTGACATATACTATACCATTTGATTGTCACAGAAATCAATAGATGTGGGTGCATCTATTCTTTTAATAACTGAGGGTTCCACAGAAGCTTAGCAATCGACCCAACATCACACAGCTGGCATATAGATGGTGCCGCTGGAAACTGAATGTTGTCTCAATAGCTCCCAAGCTTTGTCTCTGAGAGAGAGAATCTCGTGTACTGGTGATGGGGCAGGAGAAGATCACATGAATAGGTCTTCTCTGCCCAGAACATCTTTTTTCCTCAACACAGGAGGCCCACTTGTCAGGTTAGGTCAATACCTAAATGACTGAAAGAGACTCAACCAAGCCTGGAATCCTCACATGCTCCTGGAAACCATGAGATCAAGAGCTTTGCTTTTCAATAGTCCTTGGAGTCTGGATACATGCTAAGTCCTGGGGCCCTCCTTTTTGAGAGTGGGGGACCAGAAGGAAGAGTGGAAGATGAGAGTGGCTTATATAGGCAGTCTGTGTTCCAGAGCTATGTTTAGTAACTCATATAGATGATGACCATGAGCCCAACATGATGACAGGGCTCAATTACATCAGTTCTTCCTATTGCTGTGAAAGAATGAAGGCTTGTTGTGTTCATCAGTCAATTGGATTCCACTTCCAAAGTACATACAATGCTTATAATTATGGGCAACTTGGAGGGGAGATCCCAGTTTGCCTCTGCCGGTTCAACAGAAACCACATTTGAAAATTTAAAGGGACAGTTATACGCCTGTATCTTTGTTGTCATCTGTGTTATCAGGGGATAATATTTTGTTCACCAAAGAAGCCTGGAAAACAATTTCAATGTTGTTGACAAATACAGTTTCCATGACTTTGGGTTCCTTGAGATCAAGAACTGTGTTTTACTCATGTCTTTCTCCTCAGCTCTTAGCACTTCTCTGAGACATTTTGTGATCAATAATATTTTGTTGAATAAGTGAATGAATGAGATCCTATTCATCTGGCAGAATATTCTTTAGTAGAACATTTGCCAACTCAAATGTTCATTTGTATCAACACTGGATCTAAGTACTCTTTCTATTTCTTTTCTTTTTTTTTTTTTTTGCCTTTTCTACCTCTCCTCAAATTAAAAATAGCACCAGCAACAACAACAAAACAACCCCAGGAATGGTAGGCTTAAGGGTTTTGCTTTTGTTTTTTAATCAATATGAATGTAATGCTGAGAATAAAGCTTATACTTGGTAAATGAATTCCCTTGATTTTTTTTTCCACGTGGATACATGGAAAGGGTTTCGTAGGCACTAATGTGGAAATAGTAGTTCCAATTTAGATTTTAAGTCATTAAAACTTCAGATGGTTTCTAAAAGAAGTAAAATGACCTAGAGAAAACTAAACCTTATGTGAATTCATACCTGATATTATAAAATATACTTAGGATTATGTTATGTTTATTGTGAAAGCTGACTGACAAGAACCTGGGCATTGAATGAATATTTTCAAAGAATTTTAGAGAATTATAGGGGTCAGGGTGGGTGGCTAGCTTCTTAAATCAAGGAATTTCTTATAGCTCCTCTTTCATTTTCCTTCTATGTGAGTAGGCATGGCTCTGCCTTCAAAATAAGCTAGTAATTAACTTTTGTGACCTTGATATTTGTCAGTGAATGGAATTCATTGTTAAGCACATCAATTGCCAGCCAACTATTGGTCGCCATTTATTCTGTGTGAGATTTCAAGATGAAAACTACAATCTATGCACTTAACCCTGTTTTGATTATTGAAGATTTTATTGTCCAGCCATAGGACAGTTGAAGACAACCTACATATAATTCAAAATAACAAGCCCTAACGCTAGGCGTGATCAACCAAGAGTAAGTGGCTGCTTCAGTTATATAAAAAATAATACAACATAGAAGGGATTCTATAGCCTCAACTGTTTAAAGTATGGTACCATAGAAGGAGATGAAATGAAAGGAAAAGAGTCTCAGATTGGGCCCTTGGTCTAGAACAAGGTGCTTCTCAAACTTTGATGTGCATGTGAATCACCAGGGATCTTGTTAAATGAAGATTCTAATTCAGTAGGTCTAGAGTGAGGCCCAAGAGCCTCAAACTCCCAGGAGATGCCAATTCAGCTTGTCCAGGGACCATATTTTGAGAAGCAAGAGTCTGGAAGACATGAATAACACCTCAGAAAATGAACTCTAGGTGACTTCTTCTGGAATTTCAAGTAAGGCCAATGAAAGCCACCCTTAAGTGCAAGTCAGTAAGAAGCTACCTGCGATAATCACACTTAAAGCATTTCCTTGCTCAGTGCATTTTGATCAGGATTTCCAGACCAGATCTCTCTCCTGGCCTCCACACCTGTACAGCAAACGAATCACAGAACACCCCTACCTAGATGACTCACAGACTCCTTAGCAAACACGTTCCAAACAGAACTCACTACCTTCCCTCTTTCCCAAAGCCCCTGTTAGGTTTCCTCTCTCAGTGCATGGTAGCTTCATCTACTCAGCTGCCCAAGTCAATATTATGGGCATTAGCCTTTCTCTCCTTTCTCCCGGCACAAAGGGCTATCAATTTTTTCTTTCAATGAGCTACTAAATGTACTAACTTCTCTGTTTTTAATTTAATTTAGAAATTTTACATGTCAATGAAGCCCAGACAATCAGTGGAATGGACATTATAGATCATAGCTGAACCTACCCAGCCTGTAGGAGGAGCTCCTTTGTCTCTCACACAGAGAGCCTCCTGCAAATTCACTTCTCCTGGGGTAGGCCCTGTCCAATGGCTGAAGAGCGTGGGAATGTGAATGTACAGCTTGCTGGCTCAGGAGCGGACAACTCAGGGGTATAACCTGTGCTCTGGAGGTGCCTGGAGGACCAGTCTGAAGCTAGGACTCACGTTCCTGAGAAGGCATCCTGGCTGTGTCTCCTCCCTTTTCCATCTGGCTTCCTCCACTCCCTTAATGATCTTCCCTGGAAATACTTAATGAACCCCTTGCACACACACTTTCACCCCAGAACCTGCTTCTGGGGAACCTGGCCTAACACAGTGGTACCAGATTTATAGAGAGGGCCATTTCACACTTGACTGGGTTCCTGAGAAAGGCTGGGATATCTCTTAAGACATCTTTGAAAGCACAGAAGTAATTGTCATCCATGTTGGATGACATCAGTGTGAACAGGCTTAGAGAGACTATTTTATGATAGTCAATAAATAATAATAATTAAAAAAAATAATTAAAAAAATAAATAAAAAAGAAAAATGGATGAGATACTCTGTCAAGAAGTTAAGATTCAAACCTCACCAAATCAGATAGCTTGTTACCAGGGTTACCAGCTGACCTCTTTAACACTAAGATTTTCTGTTGAGTAAAAGAAATGTAAAGCTATCTACAAGTTATATCATGCAGGATGACATTTGTGCAAAGATCTGTTTCTCCCCAAGCAAACCCATTCACCCACCAGCACTTTTCTTGCAGGCCTGCTGGTTGCATTTTTTGAATTCTGGAGGTCTGGGTTCGTGATCACACAGGCATTGGTCTTGGTCTTCAGTTTTATTGTTCTCTGAGGGCACACAATGGACAGTCCTCTTCTGAAAGCCACCTCCACAGGAAGTGGAACACTGAAAGAGAGGGTGAACAGAGAGTCAGAAGTCGTCCCCACGACTCCCAAGGAAACACCAGTAGAACACTTCCAACCCCACTGTGGTCAAGAATGGAAACATCTCAATAACTAGAAACCTTTTTGAAGGAGTCATAGAATAAAGGCACTAATAATTTGGAGATGTGAGTTTAGAAAGACTCTATACTATAGGCTGTGTGGATTGGATCTGACTGAGTTTACTATTAGGTTCTCTGCAGAACGTTCTCCTCTTTCACACATTTCAGAATGGTTTGATGCCTCTTGTCACATGATTACAGCACTGGGCTCCAGGAACCTATGTTGGTGCCGTGGGACCCAGCCAGGCCACACATGACTGGTCTAGGGAAGGTCCCTGCATCAAGTGGGGCCAATAAGTCACTCCTTGGGAATTTGAATTGAGACCCACCCAGCAAGAGATTCCATCTAAGGCTGAAATTTGAGAACTTGGATGTTGTTGGTGGCCACATTTCCTGCCAAGTAAAACGAGTGAAAACCAAATGGAAGAAAAGGTGAATGGAATGAAGCATGTGCTTAGAGAGGAACAGGAAGGAGGGAGGCATTGCCCATGGGGTTCGCACCCTTGTTTCTAGCTGGAACCCAAACATTCATCTTTGCATCATGAGTATATGGAGTGAAACATATGGAGGGAGGCTGAACTGCAAGCAAAGCAGAATACAATTCCATATCTGGGTCGTGGTACCTTGGTCTGAACTAATTTTGATTTGGGGCTGGGGATTGGATGTGAGGAAAAGGGGTGGAGCTACTAGGAGAGATGAGCCTTGGGTAAAAAGAGAAGTGGGAGGGAAAGACCCCAGTGGCATGGAGAGAATGTGGAATGGGGGTAGGGACAGGGCTAAGCATGGAAGCTGGGGAAGAAACAGAGCAACAGCAGACCCGGCTCTGTGCCTAGCCGGACCAGGTCCTCTCAAGCCATTCTAACGATAAGGTTCCACCGCAATGTCATGATCGCCCACCTGGCTGCAGGAGGGAGATTCGCTGGCCTGTAGAATCAGTTTACATAAGTTTCTTCAGGATGTAAAAAAATGTGCCTGAATTTACCACATATGCTCTTTTTTTAAATTATTATTTTTTGAGGTAAAATATATAAAACATAAAATATACCATTTAAACCATTTTTTTTGAGACAAGGTCTGGCTCTATCACCCAGGCTGGAAGGCAGTGGCACAGTTTCAGCTCACTGCAACCTCCCTCTCCCTGGTTCAAGTGATTCTCCTATCTCAGACTCCCAAGAAACTGGGACTACAGGCGTGTGCCACCACACCTGGTTACTTTTTCCTCCGGCACACTCGCTAAGTCAACTGGAAGTTTAGTCATCTGTTTCCAGATTCCAATTTTTTTTTTTTTTTTTTTTTGGTGAGGGGGAGCTAAAGATAGATTAGGGTAATTTTACAGATTCCAAAATTGTATGGACCCATCTCTCTGCTCTTGTCTCCTGCCCCCATCTTTGTCCTTGTGGGCTTGTGCCAGTTGTAGTATTTTATCCCTTCTGCCTATTTAGTGGAGTTTTGGGAACAAAGGAAAATGTATATGTTCAATCCATAGCTTGTGTAGTTTCACCTAATAACAGATCATGAAGGTTATGAGTGATTCCAAAGGCTGGCCTGGTAGGTGTTAACCACTCTCTCATTATCCCCCCATTCTTTGCTATGCGTAATTGGTGAATTCCTGACACACAGCTCTTCTAAGGAACTTCAACCCATGTCCACTCCCAATAGACTCACCTGGAACTCCTTCAGGGAGTTGAAAGGGAGGCTTAAAAATGTTCTCTTACAATTTTTAATCTTCCATGAGATTGTTTCCCTAAATGGGCCCAAACTTACAGCATTTTTATGACTTCACATTACATCACATTTTCTCTTTTAGATGTCATGTTTGCTTTGATTAGAGGTACGTATTTTGTTATACAGAGTTCTGAGATATTTATGAAGAGCCTAGTCCTGAAATATATCCAGGCAGCTGGGGCAAAGCCTGCCAGGAGTAAGCATGGTCTCTGCTCAGGCCCATGTGGCTGGAGAAGGCCACTGCTGCCTTGATCCAATCTGCCATGATGCTAATGACGAATTTTGGGAAGTTCATGGATAGACTAGGCACACAAATCTTGCTCATAGCAGTGAATATTAGTTTGGTAACTATTTATTGGGTGACAACAGAGAAACATCCTAACAAAGGGGAAATTGTTAAGTAAATATGATCAATCGACTTGATGGAATATTACTGTAAAGAAAGGATTAACTTTGGTCCTGGTTCAGAGTACTTGGAGAGAAAAATGACCTTGAAGTATGGTTTCCTTGGACACTATAGAGTTAAGGTAAATGCAAAAGATGATGACTGTCTTGTCTACCAGGAAATTCCTGACTGTAGGACTGTTCCCTACTGGAGGCCTGTGAGTTGGCATGTGGCCTTGGGCATGTGTGACCAAAATAGTTTAAAATATTGGCAGGAAACTGAGGCTGAGGCTTCTTTGTGTCAAGGTGACCTGTGTGCACCTTGGCTCTCATTTCTTGCTACCCATACATACCACGCTTGACAGACAAGGAAGCAAATGAAGTTGTACTCTTGGATAGTTGCTGAAATTGTATCCTTCGGTAGCAACCTCCTGCAGAGATGAGGCTGTTGTGCCTAATATAATTCCTGCTTGTATCCTTCTACACAGCTAAGTGAATTTGGTGTTAGAGTCAAGTCTATTGTACCTCACATGTCTGACTGCCAATAGACCACCAATTTGACACAGCATTAGAGTGGATCATGGCTGTGCCGGTGCAACTATGCAGTTATGAACAATGAGAATTACAAACTGTATAGCAACCTACAGATAGCTGGGGGCATTATGTTGGGCAAAATACTGCATTCCCGTGTGTGTAATAATTACAACCATCGAAACATACATGCATGGGAACAAGTCACTTTATAAAAATGTTAGTAGTTGTGATGTTAGTGTATCAGACCATCTTGGCTCCCCTGTCTCCCAGCTCGTGGCCCTAGGATCTGTCCCAGCTGAGGTGGCAACCAATTTTCTGAAAGCACAACCCAGTGGCCTTCACCTCATGCCATTTGTATTAGCCTGGTTTCACACTGCTATAAAGACATACCTGAGACTGGGTAATTTATAAAGAAAAGAGGTTTAATTGACTCAGAGTTCCACAGGGCTGGGGAGGCCTCAGGAAACTTACAATCATAGTGGAAGGGAAGAGGCACGTCTTACACGGCAGCAGGTGAGAGAGAGTGGTGAGTGAAGTGGGAAGAGCCCCTTATAAAACCATCAGATCTTGTGAGAAATCACTGACTATCACAAGAACAGCATAGGGGAACTGCCCCCATGATGCACTCACCTGCCTCTGGGTCTCTCCTTTAACACGTGAGAATTACAATCTGAGATGAGATTTGGGTGGGGACACAGAGCCAAACCATATCACCATGCCTCGTACCTCCCTGCTTCTGATTGGGCTTTCTTGTTGCCAATGAGAAATGAGACACAATGGGACTTGCTCAGTGCCCATATCTGGACAATTCAGAAGTATGGAGATATTAGCCCTCTAAAGGGAGACTCCACCAAAGGGAGACAGGAGTCAGTGGATAACTCTTCTCCTTTCCTACTCGTCCCTCCCTTCCTGGATAAACTGCCATAACACGCAGTAGTTCACACAGTTTTTAGAAGCCTTCCTGTGAGAATCAGCAATCAGTTGCTCCTGACACCAAGCGATGGTCAGTTAGGTAAGATAATCAGTCTAGTAACACACCACTTCATTTTTGACTCCCCTTCTCTGCCTCCTTTCTCTTTTCTGTCACCCCTGCTTCCCTGGCATTGAATTTTCGAATAAAGTTAAATTTTTTCTCGAGACTTTATTTGATAGAAAATCCAGGATAAGACAAGTCAGAATGATGGCAGAATCTGTCCATGGGATAATTTTCTTTATTTTGTTTTTCTGAGATGGAGTCTTGCTCTGTCACCCAGGCTGGAGTGCAGTGGTGCAATCTCGGCTCACTGTGCCCTCCGCGTCTTAGGTTCAAGTGATCCTCCTGCCGCAGACTCCCAAGTAGCTGGGATTACAGGCATGTACCACCACATCTGGCTAATTTTTAAATTTTTAGTAGAGATGGGGTTTCACAATGTTGGCCAGGCTGGTCTCGAATCAAACTCCTGACCTCAGGTGATCCACCTGCCTCGGCCTCCCAAAGTGCTAGAAGTACAGGCATGAGTCACCATGCCTGGCCAGAATTTTATTTTCAATATTGCTGATAGAGTGTTATTTATGCAATAAACAAACTTAGGGAGAATAATACCTCTTTCCTTCATTTACGGTTTATTTTGTTCCATCAAACAGGCTGGCCATCTGGCAAACTGATCTGTGGACTGACAAGAGGCCTGAAACTCACTAAGTCTGACTATGTCTAAAGCTTTAGGACAGATGCCAACTCCTCTTTGCTCTAGGAAAAGCCAGAGCATCCAAGGTGCTGGGTATAAAACAGCTGTTTCTTAGGCTGTGTGTCTCTGGAATAGCTTTAATATTTGATCTTTTCTCTTTTGAAAGTATTTGATCTTTTCCCTTCTGAACTCAAGACCCACAGCAGCCATGGGTCAACTTTTAGCAGACTTAGAGGTATTCAGTGGCAGAAATATGAAAACCAAAGTATATAGAAACATACTATAAATCAATTAACACATTGAATATTTACAATGAATATAGATTATTTTTGTAATCAAAAGAAAATACATGTTATTTTATTTTTATTTTTTTGCTTAAGTAGAGTGGCAAGAAACCATTTTTTTAAAAAGCTAAAGTAGATTGAGGTTCCAAGATGGCTGAACAGGAACACCTCCGGTCTGCAGTTCCCAGCGAGATCAACACAGAAGACAAGTGATTTCTGCATTTCCAACTGAGGTACCTGGTTCACCTCACTGGGACTGGTTGGACAGTGGGTGCAGCTGTCCTTGCACCACAGAGGGTGAGCCAAAGCAGG